ATACCAACACCTGAAAACAACAAAACAAAAAAAGATAAATACAGACCAATATCTCTCATAAACATAGATGCAAAAATCCTTAGCAAAATGTTAGCAAATCAAATGTAATAATGTGTAAAAAGAATGATATACTATGACCAAGTGGGATTTATTCTAGGTATGCAAGACTGATTCAACATTTGAAAATCAATTAATGTAACCCATAACATCAACATACTAAAGAGGAAAAACCATGATCATATTAATAGGTACAGAAAAAGCATCTGACAAAATCTAACTCTCATTTAAGAAAAAAATGCTCAGTAGGCCAGGTATGCCTGTAATCTCGCACTTTTGGAGGACAAGGCAGGAGGATCCCTTGAGCTCGGGAGTTTGAGACCAGCCTGAGCAACAAAACAAGACCCTGTCTCTAATTAAAAATCAAAACAAACAAAAATGCTCAGTGTACTAGGAATAGCGGGGAACTTCATCAATCCAATGTAGAACATCCACAAAAAACCTACATCATGCTTAATGATGAGATGCTTTCCCCCTAGGTCAGGAACAAGGCAAAGATGTTTACTCTCAGGTTCCTGTTTAACATCATATCAGTATCCTAGCTAATAAGACCAGATAAGGAAATACAGCTTTATACAGATTGGGAAGGAGGAATAAAACTGTCTTTGTTCACAGTCAACATGATTGTCCATATAGAAACACATGCAGAAAGTCTCCTGAAACTAATAAGCAATTATGGCAAGAGTGCAGGATACAAGGCTAATGTACAAAAGTCAACTGGTTTCCTATATGAACAATTGGAATTTGAAATATTAAAAAAGTATGTATGTTGAAGGCAGGAAAGATTGGGAATTTTATGAGTGAAGAATTGGCAGGAGAGTGAGTTAAAGAGGTAAAATGAGGCTATACTGTGAAGAACTAAGGAAAATATTGGGGTCTTTTTTTTTAAATAAAATTCACAATTTACCTCATGGTACACAGTGTATAGGATGGACTGGAGAGAAGGCAAGGGGAACTGGAGTTTCTAGAGGCAGGAAGGTTAGTTTAGAGGGTATGAACATGATTTACCAAAGAGATAATAAGGTTTGGACTACATTTATGGCAGGAAAAAGGAGAGGACAGATTAATTCATTCAATAAACAATTGAGTAGGGACCTACTAGGTATCAGGCATTATTCTAGGCACTGGGAATACAGCAGCAAACAAAATAGATCACCCCTTGGGGCTTTCAAGTGGAGTATCGGTGGCAGAGTGGGTGCCTGATTGGATGTCACGGAAAGGGAGGAAGGTGAGATGAGGCAATTCAGGGGTCATTGGTACCTGGATTTCTCACCTTGAACTAAGTGACATCATTGGACCTGTTGGGTAGACAAAGTCTAGGGGACATCCAGATGGACTTGTTTTCACAGACAGCAAAAGAGACATTCTGAAGCTCAATAGTAAGGGAGAAACTAGAAGTACAGAGAAACAACTACAGACTTTGGGGTCCTAAGAGGCAGTTGGAACCACGGGAGTAGATGATGCTATCAAAGAAGAATGTGAGATGTGAAAGGAGTGAACCCAAGCTAGAACCCCGCAAAACACCTGCATCTATAGGGTAAGCGGAGGGAGGGGCAGAGTGCTTGAATTTGTGTAGTGCCTACTAAGTTCCAGGTGCTTTGACATTTTGTCTCACCGAGATTTCACAATAAATCTGTAAGACAAATAGTTTTGCCTCTTACTTCCCCTGCCCTCAAAAGTGCAGAAGTGTAGGAGGAGAACAATGGGAAATTAGGAAGTGACATTTTCATCAGGCCAAATGATGCTGATGGATCAAATAGGATAAGAAATGTGAAAAACAAATCATTTCACACCTTTACCCATCAATATTTAACCAAAACTGAGTCACTGAATTTAATCATTGACGTTTTCTCACATTCAAAAGGGAAAGAAAATCAACCAACACAATAAATAACCCCCTCAGGTATGCAATTGAAAAGTAAGGCTTGGTATTTTTTTTGGGGGGGGGAGGCCATAAAATCTTGCTTTGTCAGCATTAATAATACTAACAAATAACATGAGAAGAAGCAAAGTGTTAGCTAAATGTACCAGAACTGCCTTGGAATGGTTATCTGTAGTCTATTTTTTTCCCTCTCATCTAAAGTTCTTAGACGAAAGCAAGCTGGGTTACTGTGAACCAAAATCTCCTGCTAAGAAACCAAAGTATAAGGCCTGGTGCAGTGACTCACACCTGTAATTCCAGCACCTTGGGAGGTTGAGATGGGAGGTCTGCTAGAGACCTGGAGTTCAAGACCAGCCTGGGCAACACAGAAAGACTCCCAAGCCTATTAAAAAGAAAAGAAAAGGGCTGGGCGCGGTGGCTCAAGCCTGTAATCCCAGCACTTTGGGAGGCCGAGGCGGGTGGATCACGAGGTCAAGAGATCCAGGCCATCCTGGTCAACATGGTGAAACCCCGTCTCTACTAAAAATACAAAAAATTAGCTGGGCATGGTGGTGCGTGCCTGTAATCCCAGCTACTCAGGAGGCTGAAGCAGGAGAATTGCCTGAACCCAGGAGGCGGAGGTTGCGGTGAGCCGAGATCGCGCCATTGCACTCCAACCTGGGTAACATGAGTGAAACTCCATCTCAAA